CCCTTTATACGCGTACACCCTTCTGATCATTCTTTTTCATGTCATGTTCCCGATCCAAAGGTGCTAACTATCTAGATTGCCTTGCCCACGATATTCGCGGGCCCTCCTGCTAGTACTATTCTAATAGTATGGTCGGTTGAGATGAAGAGCTCAGTACAACTAAGGCTGCCGACTCATTAAGCGAATTTTTGAAAAGCCGATGTCCTTGCGCCTCTCGAAGGCGATTGTCCGGATCGAGCGGTGTCCCTAATGGATTGATTGTTCTCCTGGCTGTCAGGCCGTGCGGTACATGGAGGTTTTCCGAAGAAGACAGCCTTCCGTTCGAGGACATAGGTATGCCGACACTGTATGGAACTATCGGTATAAGACAGCTCGAGTACCGAGGAGGAATTTTTCGGAAGGATGCCGATTGGAACTTAGTGATGCGCCAGTCTAATCGTAAACTTTGCCACAACCAGATGAATGTTTCCTTCACAGCACGTCGTGTGCGAAACTTTCGGACGGCCATTGCTTGGGAGTGGAAAACCAGTCTCAGCGGGTCTAGATTAGATTACACAGAAAGCATGGTGTAATTACTTCTCGGAAATATCTTTCGAAAATATCTTTTATTCACTCCCAAATCCCTTTCGCAATACCTAACACTGGAGTCACAGATTACATTCTGGATGCCCCTGGAAGGATACGATGCAATTCTTAAGAGTGGCAAATACGGGCACTGTACTAGAGTATATACATTTTAAAAGTTGCCTGAAGTACGAAGAAGTACATTACGATTGTTTTGGATTTTGGAATGCTCAGGTTTATAGAATAAAGTTCGCTGGTACCGTGAGTATTCCATTAAGCGGACTCGATTTTATACAATAACCCAATGCGACTTATTGAAATGCTAAAACTACCAGCCACACCCCTACCTGTTTTCCGTTGAACCTCCTTTTCCTTTCAATAACCGCTTTGAAATACATCTTTCTTCCTTAGGAAGATATAATCTCCATAACGCAGGGTGCGAGGGAAGGTTTTCCGCGCAGCACGTGTAAAGCGCTCATACTCATTGCCGAAAGAAGTCGCACTCCCCTGACCATGTGAAGAAAATGCTCGCCTATTCTGAAAAGTGACTTGAATGCACTGTGCATGTTGGACAGCTGTCCCGCCGAGGTCGTAGTCCTTTCGTTGTCGTTCATGCATATGACCATTTCTTATACACCAACGTATGCAAGGAAAAGAGCATAAACCGTAAAGAGGCTTTACAGTCCTGTGATGTCTTTCCCCATTGGAGTGGAGACGAGTATCTTTGGTATGAATTATGTTTACCAGTTCATTGCTGTCATTTGGTTCGGAGAAAAAACCTGTGGTACATTAATTATTCAAAGCGTATGAAAGAAAAGATCTCTCCGTCAATTCAGAAATATAAAAGCATCATGTTCCGATTGTATTGATTTCATCAGGATGAGATGAAACTAATCCAATCAGGGGTTCCTGTCATCACGTCAACTCGAGGGTCGACGTGACGTCTGAAACCCCTTTTTTTTCCCCTTTAGTTGAATGAAGGTCAATTCTCACTTCCTCATATCCAATGACGCAGGATCCAAAGGTCGACGAGTGGACGACTCCTTTCAATTAATGGATGTGAGGAATAGACCTTTGGAATAACCTTTTGGTTAACTTTTTTTCGTATGAAAAAAAACAATTACCGAAAATCGGGAAAATTAATTTATATCGTTTAAACTTGTATTATTTCTCAGATGGTCTTATCAGGTCTAATCCTAATACCCTTATGGTTCAAGAGGATTGGGGCTATCTGAAGTCAAAGTTTCTTGATTCTGGATGAATTTAACATATCAGCGTCAAGTTGACTCATTTGCTAGATAGGCATAGGCTGAGGGGAAGCACATGGAACGATGCATAACCAGTACGCCACGTGTGTGGATGCGAATGCGTTAACCATGATCAAATTCTTTTTTCCTTAACCTCTTCAGGTCCCCCTAAAATAAAACTTCGTAAGATTTGGCACGTTCAGATGCTATCCAGATTTTAGTTGAGTAATGAACGTGAACTGCGACGGACACACAAATCAAGGCAGATGTCCCAAGTGGCTGATCGTACAGTAAGCGAAAAGTGATCATTATCTGACATCTCTAAGGCTTATCTACATCACCCCCATCTGTCACTCAAAATCCCGTTTTTATGGGCTCCAAAACTACGCATTGAGGCTGGTGTGATCCAAGGTTGATGTTACGGGTGCGATCGAGATGCACCAAACTCTGGCTACTCACACCAGTCCGTGGTGTAAGTTCACTAGGGGAGCAACTACTATCCGAAAGTAGGCTGCTGAGCGGTCGACTTAATCGAATCCGACTCAGTCTGCTGCTGATCAAATTCGAACAGTCGACTTTTGTGGTAGATGAAGACTCGACCAAATCAATTTGACGTAGTAGTATTAATCCTTTTAGTGCTAGGCGGCCGATCCATAGGCTTCACCAACTGTAATGGAGTAATGTGTAAACCAATTTTCAATGACTTTCCCTTACTTCAACCTCTCTACAGGCCTCACCAACAGACAGCCTCCAGGTCACGCCAAGGCCTACTTTTTTCTTTTCAAAAGAAACTCAGTTCTCGACTTACGGCGCCAATTGGGCCTATAAGGGTGAATCGTGGCCTTCGAAACATCTGGTTGAGGACGTGTAACGTTAGGCCAATCGCAGGCCTATTCATACTTCCACGAATCATTTCAGAGTGGCCGTGTAAACGTTAGACCGATCAGCGGCCTGTTTCGCGTTTCATGAACCATTTCAGTGGGATGTGGGGACGTTAAGCCTATCTGGAGTTCCTTGAACCATCTCGAAAAGGTATGGAGAATGCCTTCAAGAAGCATGCAATCCATGGTACGCGCCATCATGGTAATTCAGGTAAGTCCAGATAGTATATCTGCATATCCCACCACACCGATTAATAACTGCTAATCACAGCTTCATTCTCAGCTCAACTCATGAACTCAGCACAAACATGTCTCATACATTAAAAAACAAGATCCAGACGCCAATACGAAGGTTGAAACAGTTTTGAATCTGGCATAATTTTTGCACGGTATCCGACAACACTGGGGGACGGTACCGGAGCAAGCACTATTAAGCCTAATTGAACGACAGTTATTTTCATTTTTATGGCGAAATGGAGCATGGCAAACAGCAAAAAAAAAAACACTTTTCGTCATCAACGAGTCGATATCTTTCTTATGGCTCGGCGCTTTCCTGATATAGTATGAGGTTTTCTTACCATCCTTCAACTCTTTATTATGCAATCCATGAATATAAATATATGGAAAGTAGGGGGGGGGGGGGGGGAGTAGAAAAAAAAAAGGAATGAAATTCACATCCTCCAAAAACAAGATTCAGCGTTCTCCACAACCCCGCGGAGATGGAGCTTCAAATTTGCTGGAGCGATTCTGTGACCATATGCCACAGTATGCCAAATTTCGTTGTCGTTGATGCGCTCAGAAAGGAATACGAGAAGGTTGAATTTTACTGCGGGAAGGAGTTGAAGAAAGGTAATTGGCGCTACCAAAGACTATTGATTAGTTCCCAGGGCATTAAAAGAGTTAACCGATTCGCATTCACAAGCATACGAGCACCATAATTATAGACTAGGTAGACCGTAAAGTTCCTGTATACGAATGAGTTAAGGTAAACTGGAGTGCATGAACGTTTCTCAAGAGAGAATAGTCAGCCCTCGCAGAAGGAAGATCCTAACATCAAGCTTATCCAAGCAGCATGTTTATGTTAATATTACGTAAAAAGAATACAAAATTTTTGTCAATTTTACGCAAACCATCAAGATTATGCCAAAATGTTTGCAGAAATGTCACATGTGATACGCAAACGGTGATATAAAATTAACGTAAATTTTACGTAAAATTGACATTCTCGTTTACATTCCAACAGCATGTTTACGTAAAATTTACGCTAATTTCCCCCTAACAATCATGCATATTTAACGAAACAATTCGTACTTCTGAAAGGAATTGATACATTGTATTTCTCTCATTCTAACTTTTACACACTTGGAACAATAGGGTACTTGTGTACTCGTCCAAGTACTCATCCTCATCAGCTCTCTAGAGTACCCAGATAACCCACTGCTTCCTCTTCCCGTATCAGAACCTCGGGAGGAGGAAACGATGTTAAGAGGAGCTCTCTACATTTAAGGATAGAGAAGGTATAGTACGTACTTGTGAAACTGGGATTCTACTCTTCCCTATTCCCGTGTACTGCTGTAATAACAAGCTTACCTTCAACTTTTAATGACTCCCTGAGTCATATATTATTTAAAAATGAAATAATTTCATACTTTCCATATATTTATATTCATGGATTGCATAATAAAGAGTTGAAGGATGGTAAGAAAACCTCATACTATATCAGGAAAACCAGTACTTAATAGCATGTGTAGGGTACAGGGAACAAGGGTTCCACATAGTGAGGAATCTTGGTACTGCAACTGCAGGATAGTCAGCTAAAGTTTCATATGGATGGTGTGGCGTTATTTTTGCAGAAACTTGATATAAACTAGGCGTCACTCCAAGTGATGCCTAGTTCCACGTGAAGTACACGTAAAATACACGTTGATGACGTAAATATGGGAACGTAAATTTTACGTAAACGTGATGTCATTTTCAGTGCAATCGCAAGAAATTTACATAGCAAAAAAATTGATATCTTGTTTACGTAAATATTTTGTTTGGGTAGGCCAATGTTGAATCTATTCGCTGGGTGACTAACATTAGATGGCAGTGGCGTAGGCAGGAAATCGGCAATGGGGGGGGGGGGTTGAGGCCAGGTAGAGACCCTAACCCTACGCCTAGCTCCACTACCCGAAATTTACATTTTCAAAGAAATCATGGTCTGGCATCTTGGGTCTGTGGATGGACATAAGACTTTCCTCGAAGGGGCATAGCTAAAATTGGAATTCCCAAGGAAGGTTGAAATACCTAAACCCCCCCCCCTTCCCTACGCCTCTGCTAGATGGCGCGTTTTAAATATGGCGCCGCCCATGACGGAGGAATCGCACATGAGAATGGAACAATCCTTCTTCACGTGGGGCTCCTCCCAATTCTTCTCAAAACTTGAGAGCCACGACAATGTTAAAGGGAGCTTCTAGACCAAGTAAAACATGTTATAAATGCGACCAGTGGCGTAGCGAGGGAGGGTTGAAGTCCCCCCCCCAAGTTTATTTCAAGCCCCTCCAACCCCAGTCTAAATGCATCCCCCTCCCCCCCCCCCCCCCCGGGAGAGGAGAAGTAATTGGTGAAATTCTGGCTACGCCACTGAATGTGACAGAGTTCAGAGGTGTGCTAAAACGTAGTGCACTCCTTAATCAAACCTCACCGTCAATTGGAGGTGCAGGTTTTCCTCGAAGCCACTCACCAATGCAATGATTTCTATGGGATCCTGGGCCTCAGTGACATACACTGTTTTCGGATTGAATTGGTGAAAGTCTTACTGTGGAGAACGGTGAAAACACAAGCTTTCCAGACAATCCTCAAGATGTCAAGCCTGATGCTCCACATGGTTGTTGGATGATTCTATTAATACTTCACCTTCCATCCACAAGGTGTCCTGCCTGTACTTGATGGAAGCGCTCCTAGGGGGGGGGGGTACCAATTCAATCCGAAAACAGTGTACATGTGCATGATATGAGTGGAATACTACCTACTAATATCTTCCTGTTTCTTGTAGAAGTCATTACAAAGATACACTGCTTTAAATTTGTTGAAGTTTTGACTCCAATTGCCTGTGTTCTCTTAGCTGTTTTTTCTTCTATCAGCACTTATCAGTTGTGCTTTATGGGCTTAAATCATAATTCGTGACAGAAACCCTTTTGGGGTTAATACCTCATGATAAAAATTATCATGGCAAGGGTTAATGTTGGCTATTTATCTTGCGCCAGCAAATGCCAATTTTGATTTTCATAGGCCAATGGAAAGCGAAGGCCTAGACTGAAAGAAACATCATAACAGGCCTTTCAGGTTGCCTGGATGCTCCAAGTAGAAACTTCAGACCATCGATTACTTACTACATAATCATTCTCGGCCTTGGGAAATCCCTCTGGCAAAGAAACTGAAGCGTTTTCGTAGTAAAAACAATCTTTATTTGTATGTTTCCATAAGAAACGCATTGAAGCTTGCGCGTTTGACTACCCCCCCCCCCCAGCTCATTTTTATACTTCCTGCCGCCAGATGTCTCCCAACTTAATGCACCCAGCGAATAGACTGACCTAAAGAGTAGAGTCAACTCCGCATCCATCCTTTTCATAACAAATTTTCACCAATTACGATGGGTGTCTCACCGGATAAATTGTCAGACAGCGTGGCACCCAGGAAGGTAAACATTTTCTTCGCATGAATACGTTCGTGTATTATCACTGAAGCCACCGGTGCATTATTACCCTCAGACACTTCATAAGTGAAATACCTACTTTCTCTTATAAGAGACTCGGCATGAGCAATGTTTCCAAGGAGTGATGAGCCTCGCAGCGATAGGCTCGTCAGTCATGTTCCAAGCTGGCTTAATCTCTTCGAAATTCACCAAACTAGCTGTAAAAATGGCAGATGATTAAACTCATATTTCAAATTAAAATGGACATGGCACTCGGGCGCCCCAAATCCGAGAATCATATTGTAGACGATCATTGTATGAAAATGCTCTCTGAACAGCTTCAACGCTGGATACGGAACACGCTTTCCACGGCTGCAACCTACAGCTACCTACCATCATTTTATTCCCGCCGACTGCGACAGTGCCTAGACAAGTCGTTATAAGAGTCAACATGGATTATATCAATTTTCTGTAAACCAAAAAAATAGATTCGCTACGTTGCCGATTCTAAAAGGATATATCCGGTCCAAGAATCCTTTTCGATCATGATCGAAAATTATACTTAGACCCGTATGAGTCAGTAGCCCTGTCCTGCAGGGCCCCTATAAATGATTGAATCTTCATACTTAGGTCAAAGTCACAATTGAGAGCGACATCTATACTTTCATCACCTCGAACGTTTACAACAGTTTCCCATGGGGACTTCTGTCTCTTTCTTGTGAACTATCATTGGAGCTGGGAGGGAGATGTGGTGGTCATAGGCCTTGTGTAAGGCTTTTCTCGATCGACGAAACAACAGCTTTCATAAGACTATGGGGTGGAAAACGTATCCAAGCATTGTTCGAAACTGGGAAAGTGAAGTGCCAAAACCATCTGGACTCGTGTTGTTGATAAGATGTTGAAAATGCAGCTTCAATCGATCAAAAGAGAAATTAAAGAATAGGATTAACAACCTAAAGCCCTCATACTTGAAGAGTTTGAGGGCAAGGAGACCTAGTGCTTCTCCACCTACTTGGGAATTTTTAGACCTTATGGACAATATTTTAGGATTTAGGCCAATTGTGGCGAAGAGAGACGAAGACAGTCTTTCTTCATCTGATTTTACTGCTAACCTGCTAAATACTAATTAAAGTGAATTTCCAATGGCTGACCGAGGCGTAGGCTTAAGCCTAGGGTTAATCTTTAGGTATTGCTCCTTCAAGCCTAAACGACACTCTATGTTGAGGTGATCGATGAGCATGTTTTAGATAATTGTAAAGCGTCGGTACGTATGGTGCTGTCTCGGACCTTAATGTTTTCAGCAAAAGAAACGTACTTATATGCAGAAGTCAATTTGAATTGCCTCTTTTAGATCTCTGGACTTGCACAATGGGCAATGAGATGTCATGCTTTAGTAAGCAATTACATCCAACTCAGCAGCATTTAATACAGGGTGGGCCACTTAAAAGTAGCCCGCCTCTGGTCCGAGCGTGGCGGAGGTGGTCGCCCTTGCACACTGTTCTTACCGACCGTCTGTCTGTCTGGCGACGTCTTGTCGCCCCATGTGCAGACTTCCAACTTGATTTTGCCCTGCTAATCAGTCCTTGTGAACACGTCGCGTCGAAAATATGGTGTTTTCCCTGCAGCAGCGAATAGTGATTGTGGAAGGCTATGTGCGAACTGGATCAATTAAGGAAACGCAAGAGGCCTTCACCGACAAGTACCCAGAAACAAAACCACCGGCTAAACGTTGTATTCAGAACCTGGTTAAGAAATGGCGTCAAACCGGCTCTATCGCAAATGTGAAGAAGCAGAGGAAAAACAATCAACTTTGGAAAAACAATCCACTTGCTCGTTCTTACTGTCGCAGTGTTATAGGAGGCGGGCTACTTTTAAGTGGCCCACCCTGTAGTTTTACAAGGACTGGTTGTGGTGCAGCGAGTATGAAGAAGGCACTCAAAGGAGAAAGCTCCAACTAGTGTTGCACTTCATGCAATGGAAAGAAAATGATTGAAATTGGGTCATTACTGTTTTTTTGAGTTGCTGACTTTCGTTCATTATTTTTCTTGCCTTTTTTATTTATGTAACGCGCATTGAGATTTTTTGAGAGTTGAATTGTTTAAAAAACTGCATTTATTCCTGAATTGACTGGTGCGTTTCATTATTTTATTATAAATAATGCACGAGGTGCTATATTTTTAAACTGTAATGCACCTTTATGGGTATGCTGCATGTAAACAATTTTCTTTCAGATTTATTTAATAATTATTCTTCTGTCATTCAAATTCCATAGATTCAATTACATAAGTGCAACATGCTAGCTGCAGAAATAAAATCGACTCTATATCGGATGGGTATAAAATTAATTTCTAAATTCAATGGGAATATGAAACTTCTGCAGTTGGCAGAACTGGTTCATGATTCTAGAGAAGTACAAATAATTTCCCTTTTTGTAATTACATTTTTGTCATCCAAATGTGAAAAGATGACTTTTTCTAACACTTGATATTTTAATATGGGGGATGTAGCTTACGAAATAAAGGACGACGATGACGAGGGGGAGGATGTAAAGGGGAAGAGGTTGAAACACGAATAGTCCACCCCACAAAGGTCCAATGATGATCCCTAGAAAGGTGAACGTCCTTCGGATTCCTTGACCGAGGCCCTGCGCTCGTCGATCGATGAGCTTCGTGATGAGGCTCATGGTAGACACGGACACCGCAGGTACACCCAGGAACATCATCATGCATCCCGCAGCGAAGTACGGTAGGAGATTCGGCACATCTGCATACAGATCCGGAGGGAAACAGTCATCAGCATTTTGAGGTCGAGAGCCAATGCATCTGCCTCACAGTTTATCCAATTTTTGCAATTAATTCTCAACTCCCGTTCAGTCCAATGGAAGACTATGACAGCATATTTCGATATTTATTTTTCACTAGAAAAGTTTAAGTCTCAGCACTATCACGAAAGTTGTCCAGTCCGCACCTACTGAGGATTTCGAATTTAGAAAGAGAATCTCTGTAAAACTCGAAATTTAGGAATAAGAAATAAATCTCGAAAACTCCTTCTCGAATGCCACGATTAATATATCTCGAGAGCACGGAACTCTATACTTAGGCCTAGTCGGTATATAGTGCGAAAGTCTCAAAATGAAACAAGTTATCAGAGAATGAAATTGACAGGCAGTCTTTGCTTAATAATAATAAGCCTGTAAAACGCTCAAGTTGAGCCCAGCCAACGTGAGACTTACTAGTACATTAGCCATTATTATGCCTTTCCCCAAAAAAATTTCCTTCGTCACATTTTCCATCCCTTGAGGTGGTCCCGCATATGTTAACTATGTAAAATATACAAATACGAATTTCCCTTCCAGTAGTAAATCATCCTCATTTTTCCTCGATTGAAGCATATGTCAGCTTACGTAGCCATGTCGTTACGTATAGGACACGGTGCACTATCGAGCTTCACATTTTCATATTACACAGATTCAAGAGACTGTCTTGCATTAGCAAAAGCAAATTCATTCATAAACAATATATCTTAGGAGTTAAGAGGTGAGGGTTGATGAGTTCGGATGCATATGCACTGGAAAGGCAATTTGTAAGGTTGTCTTGGAGACAAGAAAAGTGGAGATTGGAGTCAATTTCGACGGAAAGGTATGTTCGGATCCAAAACGATAGGAGGAATACCAAATAGAACATTCGCATTGACAGAGTAAGTGCTATGATGATCAAAGTGTTGATGAGTCGAAGATCTGTTGTTAATTTCACATTTTCACCTACTGCTTGAAGGAACCCATGGGGCCTTTGCAGTTATTGTCAGGGTTGAAAGGGTTGGTTGCTCTCGCTAGAAATATCCATCTATTCAGGAGACTCCCATAGGAATACACATTACAAGCCTCAGCAACAAGGCCTATAGCCAATATGCTTGTCAAATCACTTGCCAACCCAGGCAGAAATCTCTACAATCTGTAAATTTAATATTTACTCATGGAATTTCTTTAGCTGGCAAATGAAGGAACACACTGACTAATTCGTTACAATGAAGACCAGAGTTTGCTAACATGAGTGCATGTACAGGGTTATTTTTTTTATTCACGGGACCATTATAAATATATATCTTGGAACAAATAGAGTTAGATGCCTGAAATTTTGCATCAATACTCCATAAACATGGGAAATATGTACTCTATGAAAAAAAATTAAATGTTTCCTCCTTCATGCGCAATCACCGGTCGTAAGGGTGTGGTGTAATTCTGTACAACTGCCTGCAGGGTGTCCAGAAAAATGGAATAACTTCACCTTCTGTGGCCGCCTTCAAGTCTCTAAACGTGTGTAGATTTGACCATGACTCGAAAACGTTGTCCTTCAGGTATCCCCAAAAGAAATAGCGACATGGATTGAGATTGGGTGGAAATGGTGGCCATATTAATCCACCGCTTTGGATATCAGGAAATCTGCTAGACAGCATTCTGGTGCAGGAAGTCTAACAACGTTCGCTGTATTGGCAGGTCACGACCTCGATCCATGTGACTATTTTCTCTGGAGATACCTAAAGGACAAAGTTTTCGAGTCAAGGTCAAATCCATGCACGTTTAGAGACCTGAAGGCGTCCACAGAACGTGAAGTTATTCCATTTTCCTGGATACCCTGCAGGCAGTTGTGCAGAATTACACCACACCCCTACGACCCGTGATTGCGCACGAAGGAGGACATTGAACTTTTTTTTCATGGAGTATAACTTTCCGATATTTATGGAGTCTTGATGCAAAATTTCAGTCATCTAACTCTATTTGTTCCTAGAATATAAATAGTGATAATGGCCCCATGAATAAAAAATCATCCTATATATGTATCCACTGTGAAACAGACTTTGGAGAATAAAGTAGGCAACGACGAGGAGATGAGCGAGGGCGTAGAGGATTAAAACTGAGCCGCAGATTATGATGCTTCGATCCTGAAATCCACGTTTGGAGGCAAAGATAACGATGATGTAGACGAGAATGCTCTCCCCGCCGATCGCCATATAAAGGTAACTGTTCCCCAGGTTACCCAGCCCGAAATCCGTTTGCATCGTTGGTGGGATGATCGTCTGCAAGAAAATACTCCAATCAGGCCTTCAACGTAAACCTCAAAATCATGTGCAGGAGTTCCTTGGGTCACCGAACGCGTCTGAAAACGTATACCTCCTTTACTATTCAATAAAAGCGAATGAATTTATCAAAATAAAGGTGCAGGGTGTAACAATAACATATTCACAAAATGTGAAAAATCATGTAATTATTGATATATTGTCCTTTGAAACGTTAGACTTGATTGACCTTCAATAGGGCAAGGAAAAACAAAAAGGGAGAAAGATTCACAAGAAATAACTTAAAAACAAAAGGAAACGTGTCATTTGATAATTGATTAGCTGATTAAAAGTGATAAGAGAGATGCAATTGAATGCCGATTTTCCATCTGGTCAATGAACCTACAATAATATTTTATTGCTTCTTAATTTCAACTAGGGGTGAAAAAGACTGTATTTAAAGTTAAGTAGAGGAATCATAAAAATTAAACGGGTCACTGAGACTTGAAAAATCAGGGTAGATATTTTCTAACTTTCTATCAACAGTTTAATGACCCCTATATACAGGTACTTTCGAGGTTCGAAATAAAAATTGATAGCATATAACGAAGACGTGTAAAATGTCATTCCCATGCATTGAAAGGAGATACGAATTTTCAAACGCATTCGATGACGTGCTAAGAATTGCACAATTGTGCTTCGAAATACCTCAACAAGAGTTTGGCAGAGAAAGGTCGTCATCTGCGTGAGCAGCAGGACAATCACCGGCAGCTTCAGGAACTCTGTTATCACCCACAGGAACGCACAGAAAGTAAAATTACTCAATGAAAACGTTAGTTCGGTTGTAGGATTCGGTGACTGTACCTTTTCGGTAGAGCTGTCGGGCGTTGAAGTGGGTTTCGTCCTCCATCGTGGGGGCATCCGCCCTCGGTGATGATGGGTTAGATTTACTCAACTCTTCTCCCTCTTCTACGTCCATCCGAGAAAAACAAGAGATTCTCATATATTCTGGCAGAACCTCGTTTCAGTACAGACCTAGTCTGCGCCAAATTTTTCTGAACGAGGGAAGAACTGAAGGAAAGAGAGACCGATGGCGTCGGAAGACGATGAGAAAGAGGATTGCTTTACAAGGGGTTTCTTTTCCGATCCTTCTCCGATTGAAGTCCTGGGATCGAAAGAACCATAAGCAACTCGGGTCTCCCTCGCTATCCTCTGCCTCTCCTCCTCCCTCCGATACTCTTCCGACAGGTTGAAAAAGAGAAAGAACACCACCACCTCAAAGATAACGTAGATTATTGCCATGAGGAGTCCAGGGCTGTTTTCCTCTGTTACATGGATCCTTCCCAGCTGGAAATTCACGTTCTGCATATAACAAGAATGTAACAGTATATATGGAAGATTATGAAGAGTGCACAAACAGATATGCATAGTATGAAACTCATGGCAAATAAATAGTCCCTAATTTGTTTTAAAGTGGCGATTTTTCAGTTATATAATGGCTTAGATGATCTTATTTGGTTAGGCCTATATAGTAAAAGCAAAGGGGGAAAGGGATAGGCTATGAAATACGATGAAAAAGGATGAGACGTACGGCGAGAGCGAGATTGTAGGCCGGTGCGAGGATGATGCTGATCTGCCTCATGGCAAAGATGCCCGTGAGAACAGGAGTCCTTTCCTCGGATGTCGTCGATCGGCTCACCTCTGCATACAGCGCCGTATTCATTCCCACCCCGGTTCCTATAAACGTAACAGGAACGAGGCCCCGATTAACAAAGAAAGTGAGGATGATGCAAAACAAAAACTCCAGGACACCGCTAACCGGAGAGAAATCGGCCGAGGAGGAGGACCCAAGGGGAGAAACCGATGAAATAGAGAAGATTTCCGACGATCTGGAAGAGATTCATGGTGAGAGCGATCTTTCTCACGTTGCGGCTCCTATCCGCCCAATATCCCACCAATATCCCCGAGAACAGCGCCGCCAGACTGAATGCTATTGGGCGTCAGATCGTGAATGCCATTACCAACCGTTACCAGCTCAAATTCGCAAATGAGAAAATAAATCACTCACAAGAGGTAACCAGGCCGAGATACACTTCGTCTGTGACACCCATTTGCTGCAAGTACTTCCATACTGACGGCAGGATAATCGCTGATGAAAGTGGAAAAATATTGTCTCCTGTTACTTCCATAAAAGCACTGATGCAACTCAGTCCTATGACAGAGGGTCTAAACCTTCTATGAGCAAGGAAGTCATGCCTTGCGTCTTGCTCTTTTCAAGTTGTGGCTGCAAGTACAGGGTGTCCCAAAACGTATGGAAACATTTAAAAAATTAATATCTCATTAAATTATGCCTCAAATAAAATTATGAAAACAGTAAAATGAAGTGCAACTAAAACATTTTTCTGTTTCCATACCTTTTGGGACACCCTGTACAGTATTTATGTCTCATACTTGCACCGCTATTGTAACTCATGTTGTGGCCCCGTCTGGACTTCTTGTAATTAAATGCAGACTTCGTCCGGCAAACCGGAGCGAAACATATTCGGCATAAAAATTAATTACTTCAACTTCACCGACATACACAACACAGCCATTGATTAATAAAACTAAAAGGCATGATTGCGTACAGAGATGTTGGTATCCGATACTGATACAGATGATGGTACTTGACGGTACCGTATCGCCTTACAGAAGTATATTTTACTTTTATAATATGAGCTTCAAAGAGCAGGCAAATAACCAATACGTAGGATGTTATCAATAGGTGCGGTAGCGCCTATTGATAACATCCTACATACATCCTACATTACCTTTCTTCAACCCCTTACAGTCACATAATTCAAGCTCCTCGTATTCCTCTCTGAGAGCATCAAATAGAACGAAATTGGGCTCGTTTCTTCCTCTCTCAGCACAGAATCACTCCAGCAAATTTGAAGGTCCATCTCTCCGGGGTTGTGGAGAACACTGAATCTCGGTTTTTGATGTGAATTTAATTTTTTTTCCCTCCCTCCCCCCCTGGGTAACCACTTCTGGGAAGTTTTCGGTGACTAACCATAACAAAAATATTGACTCTTTGATGACGAAAAGTGCCCTTTTTGTTGTTTGCAATGCACCATTTCGCCATGAAAAGTGAAATTAGCTATCGTTCATTTAAGCTTAGAGTGTTGGCCCCAGTCCCGTCTCGAGGTTGCCGGATGTCGCGCCGAAATTATGCCAGATTCAAGACCTTCGCATCGGCGTCTGGATCTTCTGTTTTTTTTATTTAAATGTATGATATATTTTTGTGCTGAGTTCATGAGATGAGCTGAGAATGAAGCGGTGGTTAGCAGTGATTGATAGCTGTGGTGGGATATGGAGATATCTTATCCGGACATCCCTGAATTAACAGGATGGCGCGCACCATGAATTACGCTTCCTGGAGGCATTCCCTCCTCAGACCTAATTGAGATGGTTCGAGGAACTCCAGATAGGCCTAACGTTCCACGTCCCATTGAAATGGTTCATGAAATGCGGAACAGGCCTCAAATCGGTCTAACGTTACACGTCAGCTCCGAAAAGGTTCGTGAAAGTATGAATAAGCCTGCGATTGGCCTAACGTTACACGTCCTCAACTATATGTCTCGAAGACCACCGATTCACCCTTACAGGGCTACTTGACCACGTAAGTCGAGAATTGAGTTTATTTCGAAAGAAAAATGGTAGGCTTTGACGTAATCTCTCCTAGATGCCTAATGCCAAAGATGCAGTTGATGTGTTTTTTTTTTCCCCTGTACTTCGTATCTTTTCACCATTGTGAGAAGTCGACTTATGGCTGGGGTTATGTGCGGTTTCCCAACGACTCAAAGTTGGCCCAATGAAGGGCCAACAGGACATGTCCGACCATAAGCCAGCTTAAACCAATCGTAACCCAACCATATGCCAGTGATGGTCCAACTAAGCTTATATACGTGTCGACGAAAAGCCATCAATGAAAAAGTTGTGATTGGGTGGAGCGTTAACTGTGATAATCAGTTTTCTGTGATAATCCATGCAAGTATCTTATTCGCATGTGCTATGTGCATAACTTTTTTTTTTCTTGTAAGGAAAAAAAATGTTTGCAGCGCAGCTGTAAAGGGTACAGGCACCAGTCACATTTGTATCTTGATGCAGCTTTAGTACAAAAACATTTCAAGAGAAACAACCACTCGAAGTCAACACAACGAAACCGGTCCTTGGTGAGTGAATCAATGTTAAGTTCTCCACAAAATAAGCCATTCGTAAGTTTCACCGTCAGCAATTGCGTTTGATGATGCCACGGCATTATTCATATTCTCCTTCTCCTTTCACCTGTGCGGTATTTTCCAATTTTCCACGTGGTGACGTTGAAGCAGATAATGCTGGAGCGAGACAAAACTAACGGAAGTGGTGCTACAATTTCCCTTAATCGAGTCATAAACCGTATCTCATGTCGCCATCGAAATTTATTACCATTTATCCCACAGGTTTTGTTACACTGGGAAAAAATAAAAACTTTTTTCCAGCAGAAACACCTGAAAACACTTTTTTTTTTAAGTAGAGGGACACTTTTTTTGTCTCAGTGATGTGTTCTCAGGCATTCTCTGTGCTCTCAGGTGTTCCTGGAAGCCAACAACTTTTACGGTGTAGATGAGGGTTCAGGACACCCAAAGAGATCGGAAAAGCAGGAAGAAGCAAAAAGGGGGAAGCAGATGAGTTTCTGAGGCATAGTTTTCCCCCAAAGAACGAGGGAGACGGATGACAGTGTCCATACACATCGATTGTCCAGCTGAGACCAATCGGGTTTCTCCAAAAGTACTTAGGAGCTGCGTAGAAGCCGTGAAAGTAAACTAAGGATTAAATGATTCGTGAGGGAGAACCATATTGAACTACTATTCCTAGTCTTGCGGGCGCTACCGTGTCTTTAAATTCTACGGTTTAGTGAACATCTCGTGCTTCCCAGAGCTAATTTGCATAGTCGTCGGCTGGGGCCTATCTGCGCCTACCTTCTCCCTCTAAGTTTACTGCTATCTTCACTCCGATTGATTACACATTCATCCGACTTCATTCATACATGACTTTAGGACAGGGGTGTCAAGCATATGGCCTGCGGACCGGATCCGGCCCGCCGTCTGTTCCTAAAATTTCCATTTGGATTGAGTCATTGACTGTCAGCACAAATTTCGGTGGAAAATTATGGGTGCGATTCGCAAGCATCTGCAGGGTAAGGAATGCGGCCCGCCGACTGACTTGAGTTTGACACCCCTGCTTTAGAATAAAGCCAAGTTTGCGTCGACTGGCATGAGTATCTTCAGAGATTGGGGGGGGGGGGGGCCAACCGGAAGGAATTTGGACGCCACTGATACCTACACGTCCAGGAAGTGGATCATCTACAACAGGGGTGTCAAACTCAAATCGGTCGGCGGGCCGCATTCCTTATCCTGCAGATGCCTGCGGGCCGCACCAATACTTTTTCACCGAAATTTGTGCTATCAGTCAATCCAAGCGGAAATTTCAAGAACAGGCGGCGGGCCGGATGAACCACCTCCGCGGGCCGTATGTTTGACACCCCTGATCTACAACATTCGAACGTCCTGCGAATAGAGTTCACCATTTATACTCTTTATGACGATTCATTCAGCTCCATAAATCGCTGCTATTTCCCTCTGGATGTCGCAGGTTTGGCTCCATCTGCTGTAAGAACTCGAATTACTGTTCGTTCACCTCGTAAAGTACTGTCTCCAATATTTCGCCATTTCGTGTGTTGGTAAACGTCATTACAAACACATTGGATGCAACTCGAATGGAAATAACATATTCTTTCAAAGCGGTTACATTTTTACAGTAAATTCTACGACTTGAAACTGCATTACACCTATTTGCTCTACTGCTTGCGAAAAAAACCTTGAATCAGGTCTTACGCCACGGTCTCAACACAAGTCAGCGTCACCAAGTCAAAAGTTTTTCATCGGCCCATCGATGGCTTTTCGTCGACGCATATATAAGCATTGGTTGGCCATCATTGGCATATGGTTGGCTCATGGTTGGTTTAAGCCGGCTTATGGTCGGGCAGGTCCTGTTGGCCCTTCATCAGGCCAACTTTGACTCGTTGGGAAACCGCACACGCCCCAACCATAAGCCGACAATGGTGAAAAGATATAGGAAAAAAATCTCACATAAACTGCATTATACATCATTTGCCCCCTTAACAGAACATCTTACACACGTCAACTCCTATCGCAAAGAGCTGAGAATATTCTAAGCAACATCCCTTCCGGATGCTAAGGCATCCAGGAGCGGAATCGCAAATGAAAGCAAGGGTATCTGACCTCCCGCAGGAGGCCAGGCACGCCTTACACGTATTAAGCTTTTCAATGTCTTCAAGTGAAAAACGAATATTTTCACAACTGCTGAAAATGCTCAGTTTGTCGCAAAGAATAAAGATCATCGAGGGGTATTTTGAGTCGAAATCTGTGGCAGAAATACAAAATAAGTTCAAACGCCATCACAAGACATCCCTAGGGCCTTCTCGCCCAGCCATTTATGATTTTGTCAGGAAGTTTCAGGAGACAGGGTCAATTCAAGACCAGTCGAAACAAGGTCGACCATCACTTCAGGAAAACGAGGAAATGCACCAAGATGTAGCGGAGGGTTTCACATGCTTCCCCATGAAATCAGTAAGACGGGCAACTCTTGAATTTTAATACCTGGCATCTTCAATTCATAAAACCCTCAAGAACATCTTGCATTGGTTTCCCTATAAAATCCAAGTACTGCAAGATCTTTATTCTTTGCGACAAACTGAGCATTTTCAGCAGTTGTGAAAATATTCGTTTTTCAGGTGCCTGAGATGGAGAAAGATGAATATTATTAGTGTTCGTAAGTGAATGAAGAATTTAGTCCTCCTTAAGACTATGTCAACGTTAAATTTCAGTTGGCGAAAAGGAAAAAAAATCGTTTTGTCAAGTTACTTCATGGACATCCTGTATGAAAAGAAAAATCAAGATGATTTCTTGCACCCTCACACTTCTCATTATCTCAAGGGCTTTTCCGAATTCAGGAATTACGGCAAGAGTGCTGATGACTTCTACTAGGAAGTAAATATTTACTCAAAGCTTCTCTTTCTTCTCAAAGCCTATCCTCGTCATCACTATGCTGAGACACAAGGACTATGGTTGAAAATTTGGAATTGGGAGCGAATGACTTGATTTCCCCCTCCTCTTCCCCCCCTCGCTCACCAATTGGAACACTTCTGCGTTCGCCCTTGCATGGAACCGAAAATTGACTCACTTGGGGAGTGCGAAATCCGGCTATCAAAACATATCTCTCTTCACTCTAATACGGAATGTCATGTATTTACGCTAGACCTGCTCCTGCTGAATGTCAATGGCATTTAGATAAGGTTTTTTTCCCCCCCTGATTGCTTTCACTTAGTGGGAATTGCATGGGGAAAAGTGGAGTCCGAGTAAGAAAGGGGTTTTCAGTGAGGCGATCATCTGCTATAACATCCCCTTTTTTGTTTGCGATGACTTAAAACCAAAGTCTTGTTTCTTGCTATTGGGTTAATGATTCAACCCGTCTCTCATTCAATTTTACACTCAATTGCGAGTAGATTTTGATACATGAGGTCTTGTAATTTACTGTAGTGTCTTCAATCTCATCTTCAAACTTCATTCAGTAATTTCTGCTTGAGGCATTCCACGAAATTTGCGATTGTAAAAGCCCTTTAGTTTTTTTAATTACTCATTGAAACCAAGACTCGCTTCCGTACCTTGTGCTGAGACGAATCGAAGCTTGCGTCATTCCATCATTTTGCTTCAGTACGGGTACTTCACTGAATCTACACCTACAATGACCTGTATGACCGAGTTTGATCCAGAGAATTCCTCCTTGGTTTCTCAACCAACTCATACTCTTTGTAGCTCATTCGGAAGATAATTTATTGGAGATGATCCATTTATATTTAGAGTTGACCCCTGACCTGACCCAGATGTCCTGACGCATTGATTGCATGCATAACTTCTGGAGTAAGACACAATTTGAAAGCCCTTGCCCTCTTGTTAGAATTATTTTAAATCGTTTACTTGTTTCCATGGTGCTGTTGACACTTGACGCGACAACGGTCTATCAACTGGTCAACACCGGAGATCCACGGTTTTCAATGGTTATCGCGGGGCACCGCAAGATGCGAATGCGGCTGCAGTCTTTTCGTAAAGCATGCTATGATACTGACACGATAAGTCGTGAAAACGAACGACAAATACCTGACTTTCTTGCTGAGTTTTTGAATACAATCATTCCATACGGAATGCCTCTTCACAAGTTATATCGCTTAGTTGGACGATGAAATCGCTGAATGACGATAGAATTATGTTGCCTCCAATCATAACAATCACGGAATGTGGCGATCCCCATTCGCCTTCCCTCCCCCTTCCTGCTAAGCCAGAAACTCGGATTCATGACGGATATGTCAAGCAATATCGAGCGGTCAAGACATGAATTTCTAGCTTAGATATCTTAGGATGGCAGAAAACGCGAAACCGTCCACAAATAAGCACCCATCCACGAACTGGCGCTTCTAAACTACATTAGTTTCTTGCGTGCGAACGCGCTCCGTACGCCAAAATGCCGAACTCTGGGAAAATCATTCAATGGGGATGATAAAGGATCGATTAGGTAAAGAGGGACCCCCAGTACTCACCGAACTCTGTGCCGCCGAGAAAGTTCGAGGCATAGGTGATGACAAAGGAGATATAACGCTTCTTCTTGAAAGGAAGATCCTCAAGGCACGACATTACCGTCAACAGAGTCGCGAGACTGACGAGCCCGATGGGATGAGGGGACTTGTTTATTCCGTCTCCAGCCAAGTCGTTTGGCTCCGCTATCGCATGGCTGCATCTTTTCAAGGTCTGCGTGATGGAGTCTCACGTAGGGACGGACCAGGAGGACGAAAGCCTTCTCCTCACGCGAGCCACTAAGCCAAGCATAACCTCAGGGCATATCTACATTGTTTTCGGATTGAATTCTTATCCCCCTCCCCCCAAATGGAAACGTTTCCATTGATTGCAGATAGTGATGTCTTCCACATGGGTGGTTCTGTGCATCATCTTATGAAGCAGATCCTCTGGAAGTTGGATTTTCTCCGTTCTCCACCGTAAGGGGGAGGGGAGTTACGAATTAAATCTGAAAGCAGTGTTCAACGCTTACACTCTTGCAGATACAGCGGAGAAGGGGGCGTAAGGGGGACGGCCAAATGACGTCACTAGCGACCCATATACACTTGGAGATGGCCATCCTTCCGAATATGGAACAAAGAGAAAATTTGCAAAAAGTCAGACTTACGCAGATCCACGTGTACAGCATCTGCTTCAGTGAACTGAGCGGGATTCAGAAATTTTCGTCGCAGAAGGAATAATGCATCACCAAGGCGTACCGTCTCGGCTCTTGCTGTCATTCTGTTCCGATATGCGTTGTCCGACAACAACAAAAAATATTGACTGGATCACAGTGAATATTGATAAGCGGACACAGGCAAGATTCAGAAGAAAATCGGAGAACGTACGTTAAGACATGGTTGCGCAAAAATTAAAATGTTCGATCGTGAATTTTGGCACGGGTGGGTATAACCATCTAGTACCCAATTCCCCTCCAATTTGTTAGTATGTGGCATAGTATATGGCATTGGGGTTCAACTGAGAAGAATGTGAAGAAGTAATTGTCGTACCATTTAGTAACCTTGGGCCGTACATGTCCAGGCTCTTTCAAAAGTCGCGCAACCTATTATACTGTATATAGCATGTTTTTCGAGGAACTTGAATTGAGTGTCTATTCAAAACGAGCTTAATATAGAAGGAACACATCTCACCTATGAATGAGAGTGTCATAGCAAGTGTTACAAATGACTACCGCGTTCCTGAAAAGAACATTGCGGCACACTTGCGCAAGTTTGCAGAAACATGATGGAAGGTCGAAACGAGTACTGCCGGTAATGGCCTGTGAAATGTTTTGCTTCAACGTTTTCGAGTATCTGGAATTTTTAGTGCATCTTTTCTTAAGTTATCTTCACAGGAAATAATCAGATGACGTCTGGAGACCACGGCGACCAGAGATTCTTGCTTATGAGCAGTTGCTCCGTCTACTTGGAACCACGAGCCTTTCCTTTGTTGATCTCTAACATGGCCATGAATTGATAACGTTAAGCATATACAGTTTCTGTGTAAACACAGGATCAATAATACAATAGCTGATGTGTATATATTCCAGTTAAATATAGGTCAGCACTTGTTTATATATAGGGTTGCACGACTTTTGAAAGACCCTGTATTATGCATCACACTATATGGGGAAATTCGTGTGAAGGGAGTTTCTTCCCATTATTTTCTGTCGTACCCACTTTGAATATCCATTGCCTGTGTCATAGGACAACAGAATTGAAGTTTTCTCAGGGGCTCGTTTATCCTCAGCTGGCTTCGGTGTTACTTTTTTGCTTCTGTAATAATTATTTATCATCCCATCCGTTTCATTTCACTTAACTATTTTCCAAACTCTATGAATTCTCTCTGATATTGTCAGATTGCCGAGTGAAACAGATGAGATACATGTGGAAATGTCGATGGCGTCGCTCTGACGATTGCAGTCGTTTTTCTTCGCATAAACGGCTAACCTTATATAGGAATATGAGAAAATCCTGCTGCGCGAATGATCATGCGTAGGTGCATTCCAAGACTTGCTCCTCTCATCCCTGCTTATGGACATCCTTTCTCTCCTCCTCATATCTTTCAAACTCCTCGTCCCTTGTTGGCAACGTTTAGTTCGTTTAGTTCAAGGCTGTCGGCGAAGGTTACGGCGTAGAGCCTCCTACGCCGTAACCATAGCCGACAGCCTTGAACTTGACAGCCTTGGTCCAGCTTGCATCCTCTGCCGTGGAGCAGCCATCCGCCATAGAACTCTTAATGCTCCTTCCAACCAATACCTGACGAAACAGCTTGAGGCGCCTTGAAGCCTCAAGTAGATAGGCTTACGTAATATACACAGGGAATTAAAAAAAAGACCCCCCCCCGGCGTTAACTTTTAATATTCTGCACCTACAGGAGCCCTTCTTTCGAAATTTGTGCATTGCATAGTCTGATACTCAACACCCCTTGGAATTTCATACGAATTTATTGCGTTACAGTAAGGTTATGAACGATTATCGAAAATAAATTTAAAGTGGACTAGGTTCTCCAGCCCCTGCAGAATGACAAGACTCCACACATGAACCTGTTTGTCACTGCGATGATGGCCTAACTGTAAATGTTCATCTCAGTGATGAACATTTTTTATTCAACGTTCTTCATAACTTTGAAGCTGATAACTCCGAATGACCCCAAAACCGAATTTAACGAGAATGAATGCATACGCTAAGTTTTTAACCACCTCGCCACGGCACTCCTGGAGGCAAAATTACACATTTTTTAAATTGGCTATCCACAGAAATTTTGTGGGAAGAGTCCCGATAAAATATATATTTTCTGGAAACTCATATGACGTACTCCAAAACTAATCTAAAATTATGTAAATCGGGTCACCTGACCTGATTAAAAATTCAAGTATAGCCGCCACATTACCCTTCGATGAAACAATGGTCGCGCGCCATGGTGCAAGAACAATTGTACTTCAAAAATTTAAAAAAAAATCGAATACTGGTCCAAATGAGACGAAATCTCGTAGAACGATAGATTACGATGTCCTCTACCAGCAGCTTGCGTAAACAGTAAAATATTAGCTACAATCTTAGCGATAATATTAGCGGTCAATCTATCATTATTTAGAGACATTGTCGGTAAGTGCACTTAAGTGCGCATCCGTGGCGAGGAGGTTAAAGTACCCTTCCTGGAAAAGGGCTGGGGACCTGGGGTTTCATAGATGTCGGAGAGTGTCTCCCGCCCCTCAGACTCGCCGGCTCTTGGGCCAAGGGCGAGGGCGAGGAGGCGGCGCGTGAGATCCTAGAAGCCTACCCCGACCATTCCTCTCCCTTTCTATTTATAGCTCCAGACCAGTCGCAATACTACAAACCAATTCCAAGCTTTGAATCAAGTGTTTTGACCTTACTTATTGGTTGATCGATAATTGCAACTAAGCTATTTTTAAGTATTCCCTGGAAGTGACACAACAGAACATGAGGCTCACAGTTACCAATTAGTATGGTTCCTATTTGGAAGCCAGGTTATATTTAGTTGCTGTATTTCCTGGCTGAATCGCAGAAAGTCCTCCTCGTTACAGGGGAATTATCTTTCTCTGTATTCAAAGCATCGATCAAGAGACGGCCTGGATTCTCCATCGGCTCCAAACGTTGATAGCCACCGTGCTGCTCCTCATGGCGCAAAAGCTCCACAATATCCCATGAAAATTCTTGAATGAATTGTGCATGACGCAATTGAGAGATTTTATTTTACCGATTCATACCGGGAAGCATATTCATTCGTTTCCATGAACAGGTCCATGGACCTCAAGTTTTCCTTCCTCGGCTTGGAAAGAAAGACTTTATTAATCAGTGACTTCTGTACAACGACCTGTCAAGACAAAAATACAAAAATATTTAGATTTAAAGGGTTAGGCCTACCCTAAAATTAAGGAACTCTCGACCTCGACACGTGATATCGAAATGGGCAAAATCGCCTCTTGATGTCACTAACTATCTTGACTCTTGACTCTTGACAGGTCGTTGTACAGAAGTCACTGATTAATAAAGTCTTTCTTTCCAAGCCGAGGAAGGAAAAGGGACTTCACCTTCGCCGTCTGGTTTCTTTGTGTGTCTCCTTCCTTTAATCCCCTCTAAGACCTGAATTCCTCGAGGGGGAATGCTTACCCCCAGCTCATCACATCCGTGAGGGAGGTTCTCCCTTCCTAGCACATGGGGTCAGGATCAAGCTGGTTTGGTACATTAGATAGGAAAATGGTGTGGGGGTCGGAGAGAAAAGGAAATCGCTTTCCTGAATTGTCAATTGGGTGTGAAATTCTTCTTCATGCCACCCAGCATGTGAGACGAGGAAGTTGAGCATGTAAAAGCTATGCAACATCAATTGTGTTATTCTGAACGTCTTTATTTGTTCTCTTCTTGCAGTCATACTGCTGCTTATTTTGATATCACTTGGGCCTATTCTAGCGTCATGTCGTCCTGATCTAAGCTGGCGTCAAGGTTTCTCCTCGTTTTAGAAATGTTCTTCAGAGCTTCAGCGAGAAAGGCAACAGAACGAATAAGCCCTTTCCTTCGTGTCTACCATAAAGTGGAATAGACATGATAACCGAAAAGTGATACGAGGAGTGGAATCTTCTTCGGCTGCTATCTTAACCCTCATCCACATAGTGTCGATCCCGACGCCATATTTATGGTTTGCTGCTCGCGCTTTTTGATGGTGATGACCATGCTATAAACCTTACCAAAACGCAATGAAATAAAACTCTCTCTC